CTTAAACAATAATCTTTGTCAATTTTATTTTTCAGTCTTTATGATGGTTGATACTTGATCTATCTCTTACTGTTACACCCCCAGGCAACGCTGGCTATCTGTTAGTCTCTATATATATATATATATATATATATATATATATATATATATATATATATATATATATATGTAAATACAAATTGATAAGGTGGATTCTCCGTCATATTCAACGTATGAAGGTCAAGCAGCACAGTTCCTATGAACTGACAGCCAGACAACATCACATGAGAATTGATTATAGTGGTGAAGGCTTTGTGCAGAACCATCCACACTTTTTGAAGGGCCAAATACAGAGACCTAGTGCACTACATGCCACAAGGCCCCAAATGACCCTCTGCAGGTTTTGAATTCAGAGTGGTCCTTCTCCTAGACCAGTTGACATCCAAGGCTATAGAACCCAGTCTGCCCTGCTATTTACTCATAGCTGGAAGGAGAAGAGGATTAATTCCTTTCCAAAGTGTATTAGCATGTAAGTGAATGGAATGGATTCGACTGGAATTCAAACTCAGCTCTCAGATTTCTTAATCCAAGCAATCCACCAATGCTTATATATATATAAAGTAACTAGAACCCTGAACTTTAAGCATAATAAAACAAACGTAACAGGCTAAAATGACAGAAAAGGCATTCAAAACTCCAAAATAGGCATTTATTTTTTAATTACTTCATAGGTTACAGGTAACAATGAGAACTGACAAGTTATCAAAGAAGAATATTTTCTTGTTGGACGCTCAGAATGTACATGAATCTAGAAATGATCCGTTCCACATTGACTGATGTTGCTGGGGTGATCTTCCTGCAGACTCAAACTTGTGGACTCAGTAAAACAACTAGATCCATCAGAGTTTCACATTTAAATCAGATAATTCGCTGATATGTGTAAAATCTTTTAAAAACAGAAATATGATTTTTTTTCCACTGATTTTGGGGAAAGTGAACATATTTTGGTTATACTTAATTAACAGAGATTTGCTTAGATGTCTTCACCAGTCACATGGCATGTTATCATTCTAACGACATACTTTGTATACATTTTATGGGATTTGAATATTACTGTTTTGGGTATTTATGCTAGAAAGATCTCAAATGGCACTTGTGCTGGAATGGGCTAAAGAGTCATATATATAGATATATAGCCATGTACATAATGTTAGACAGATATTAGTTGATAACACAATAATACTTACGCATACACACAGTAAAAAGAACCTTCAGATATTGGAGGCCATTTACATTAAAATTGGTATGATGTCATAGGAGTGAATCTTGAAATTACGATCTGAATTTGCTAGTCTGCAACTGTTATCGTCGCATAGCAATTTTCTATGTCAAAATAACAAAATTTTATCTCTGATGGTGTATATCTTTGTTTCATGTCTGTATAACCAATCTGAGAATGGCTCCCGTGAGCTGAAAGCTTAGGACCAACTTAATAAAAAAATATCAAAATGTTGGACAATTTTTGTCTTTATTTTCACCAGAAATTAAAGCAAACATTCAAACATTAGAATGGCTCATGAGCAGACATAGTAGGCATTTATTATCTGTTATATGTAATAATATATATATATATATATATATATAAATTCATGAATTATTCATACAAAAAACAAATACAAAGGTTAATGATTTAATTGGCGAGAAATCCATCGTCGCGAACAATTCAAATAATATACAAAAACCCCGAACCTCTTTATGAATGAAAAGATCCTTGTTTCTATAAATTTCCGTTGCAGGAGTTCTTATTATTTTTTTTAAGCATTCGTCTGTTCCTACAGACATCCTCAGGTATGGAATAGATTTTGTTCTTGTTTTTACTCTCAGTAATAAGAGGACAACGAAAATATATGTATTGTTGTAATCCGAAAAATGCTATTAGAAATGAGTTATTGTTTTTGAGCGTGCTGTCGCAACGCTGAGTTTGAATTTAAATTTTACAATTGTGCGTTCTTATACAAATATGGTGATAAGTGAATTCTTTTTTTTTACTGGTAAATTTTCTGTCAAAGTGGCATGAACTTTATTGTTCAATAATTACAGTAATGTCGCACTTATTATCCAAAAGTTGCATTTGGATCAGTTATTTTAATTTCAATAAAGGTACAATTAATTTACAAATTCATGATTATTCATACAAAAAACAAATACAAAGGTTAATGATTTAATTAATTAATATATATATATATATATATATATATATATATATATATATATATATATATATATATATATATGTACTGGTGTGATAGATAATTTGTTGTCTAATCTGCGTAAAAATGACAATAACATTGACATCTCATTTTAACAGATATATTTACCAAAGTTACATGAAGATACCCTGAAATACTAATGAGTAAATTTATTAAAAATCGCCATTAGATTCAACTACAGCCTCCACATGACTTCAGAATCTCTGCAAATCTTCTGATTATCTCCTTGTTTAAGTTGGTGAATGCCACCATAAACCTTACCTTCAGTTCATCTTTAGTATTACAAGTAGTTTTGTTGGTCACCCGCTCAACTGTGTCCCACACATAATAATGAAAGCGGGGTTGCAGTCTGGGGAGTTAGGTGGCCAGATATAAGGGGTGATATGGTCGCAAAAATTGTTTGACAGCCATGACTGGGTTCTCCTGCTTGTGTGACATGGTGCAGAGTCCTGTTGCCAGACATAGGGCCTTCCAGCAGCCACCCTCTTTCCCAGAGCAGCACTACCTCCTTAAGGCACTTGTATAGCCCTCTTTGTTGATTTTGATGCCCTCACCAACAAATTCAAGAGTTCTTTTCTTATCAGAACGATCAGGGTGACTTTCCTGAGCTGCCATACTTTCATAATTCCCATCAGACTCATCCAACCCTTTCCAAATCTTCTGCATTGTCTTCAGATTGACACCCAAATACTCTGAAATCTTCGCATTGGAGCTTCTGGCAGTACAACATGCCGTTTCCAAAGTTCTGACAGAGTGAATTGCCTCATGGTGCTCTTTTTCTCACAGACGGTGCCCAACTGACCCTACTATACTGTGTAGTTGACAAAATAAAAAAAGAACACACATGCAGAAAATTAAAAATGGCGACAATTTACTCATCGCACAATGTATATACATATATATATATATGTGTGTGTGTGTGTGTGTGTGTATATATATATATACACACACAATTATATTATTGTCTATACACGCAGATGCAACAATTCTTATAAATACTTAAATACCATCATACGAAGTAAGATATAAATCATTTGAGAGGGCAAAATACAAAAAGAAAATATATATATATATATCTGTAGGAAAAGAGAATGACAAAATTGATCAACAAATAAAAATAGAAACTTCTTCTCCAGACACTCCTCCCCCCCCATATTCTTAACCTCCAACCACATTCCCACATAGTGAGCAAAAAGCAATCTCCCCGTATTCCATACTTTATACCATAATCCGGAACTTGTAGAACAAAAGAAGTCAGGTTGGAAATAGAAGAAACTTTGTGACTTAAGCAACTTTTATTCAACCTTCAGGCAAGTATAGTGGCAAACAGTTGAGACTGACAGACAGTTATATAATTATAGCTGGAGCTGTGTAAACAAAGCAGTAGCATTTTCCTGCTAGGGGGTGGGGGATCATTGAAAGATTTCTGGAAGAAGAGTTTGATTTGAGAAGGTTTATTGGACCAAAAAAAAATGGAATGACAAAAATATTGTGGTATATGAAATATTCAGTTTTCAATATTTCACTAAGATATTTTCGCCAAAGAACCTGCTTGTGTATTTCGCCAAATGAGAAATATATAAATGATTAGTTTTCTTTTTAATTCTTTATTTGGTTGGCTTCTCTTTGACTCTTTTTTCATTTTTTTGTGCATGGCGAGAGTCTCAATATATATTCATGGGAGAAGAATAGGAAGTTGAGATGTGACAATAACAATGATGATGAACATCATCATCATGGTCGTAGAAGTGATTTTGAAGAAGTGAAAGAAACGGGAGGACAAATAGGAAGCAAATAGGGGACTAAGAAGAGGAGGAGAATAAAAAGAAGAAAGATCAGAATAGGAGAAAAGCAGTTAGAAATATAAATGAGAAGAAATTAAAAAAAGAAAAAGACAAAAAAATGAAAAACAAAACACGGGGGGAGGAGGAGAAGAAGAAGAAGAAGAAGAAGAAGAAGAAGAAGAAGAAGAAGAAGAAGAAGAAGAAGAAACGATGTCCATTGGAAGTGAAAGATGTAGAAAATAAAAATGGAAAATAGTGGAAGTGAAAGATCTAGCAAAAAAAAAAATGAATGGAAATGTTTCGAAGAGAAAGGTACAAAAATGTTGAAAAAAAAAAGGGAAAAATTTGAAGAGAAAGATTTAGAAAAGATATAGAAAATGAACAGAAAAGATTAGCGGATAAACATATAAGTGTAGAAAATATGAAAAATGGAAAAGATAGATATAAGAATGATAAAGAACAACAAATATGAGTGGAAAAGGAACAAACACAAAAAATATGAGAAAAATGAAGTAAAATAAATGTTAAAAATGAAGACATTAAGTATATTAGTTTGAGAATAGGAATTCTTTCATACTTTATTTTATTTTTTATTTTTATTTTTTTGTCTTCAGACATAAGGCACCATGCTCGATCATGGCAGAAGAAGGGAGATTATTGTGATCAGAAATCCACAACAGACCCTATTTTTCAACAAAGATAATAACAGGTTACTGACAGACAAGAGTGGCAGAAAAAAAATAGTCCATGGACATTTAAAATCTTGCAAAAAAAATCTGTAAAGAAAGAAAGAATGAATCATGAGTTTAAAAGATAGGTGAAAAAAAAGAAATAAAGAAAGAAAGAAAGAAAAAAAGAAAGAAAGAATAATGAATCGAAGGTGAAGCTTAAAGAAATGAAAAAGAAAACGAGGAAATATTAAAAATAAAAGAAGACAAGGAAAGGGAAAGAAAAATAGAGAATGTATTTAGAAAGAAAAGGCGGAAAGAAAGAAAGTAAGGAAAGAAAAGGAAAGAAAAAAGGGAGTATCTATCAAAGTGGCAAGAAAGAAAGAAAGAAAGAAGGAAAGAATGATAAATTTAAAAGAAATGTGATATTGAAAGAGAAAAGGAAGAAAACGAAAAGGAATAATGAATCTAAATGAAGTGAAAGTTAAAAAGAGGGAAAGAAAAAGGAGAAAAAAGGGAGAATGAATCTAAAAAGAAAATGTCGCGAGTATGAAGGAAAGAAAGAAAATGAATGAAGAATCAAAATGACCCCTCAGAAAGAAAGTAAAATGGGTGATGAATGTAAAATAGTAAGGGAGGTAACTGTGTATAGAAAAGAGAGAGAAAAAAAGAAAAAAGACAACAAAGAAAAACAAATAATTTAAAAAGTGATTTCAAAAAAGGAATAAAAGCATATTTACAGAAAAGAATAAAAACAAATACTCTTGCTTCTTTTTTGCTTCCTTTTTGAAATTTTTAACCTACTTCAGTAAAGCAATAAATTCATGCAGTCGAATTACCAAGAAGGAGAGCACAGAAAAATTGCTATGAAAAAACACATGTCATGGCTATGGGAAAGTAACTGAAATCGAGATGCCAGGTCAGGGCCGGTAATATTACAAACCCTATCTTTATTTTTGTCGGAGTTTATCTACTGCTTAATTTTGAAATTGTTTCCAGAGGACGCTCTCCCAACACTATCTATACTTGACGAGAGCCTGGCTTGTCTTCTCTTTCACTTTTCATTTTCAGCGGACACTACGACAATGTAGGCTATCGCAGAAGATTGCGTTTTCCCTTTGTCCGTGACGTTATGCATTTTTCCTTCGCGAAGCACCATGAACATTACACACACACAGACACACAGACACACACACACACACACACACACACACACACACACACACACACATTCACATTCACACCTACTCTGAAACACAAACTTTCCAATTAATTCATACACGCACATTATTGTCCTTTGTAAACCCTTTTGTTGTTGATACACATATAATTGTTTGTATATATATATATATATATATATATATATATATATATATATATATATATATATATATATAATATTAAATACTTAAGATTATCACACAAAATTTCATAACTGAATCAATAAGCTGCCAGATCCTCATACGTCGAAACCGACGGAGAGTCCATTATATATATATATATATATATATATATATATATATATATATATATATACAGTGTAACCCGGATATAAGAGACCCGGATATAAGAGAAACCCGGATATAAGAGATTTTATCTGGTCCCAAATTAGAGCCTGTGTTAATGTATATATAATAGACCAAACCCGGATATAAGAGAAACACGGATGTAAGAGACTTCTTCTCCGGTCCCGACAACTCTCTTATATCCGGGTTACACTGTATATATATATATATATATAGTTTCTTGTTTTCTTTTACATTTCTTTCGGGTGGACTCATTCCAAGCCATATTTGTTGTGGGCCCTATTTCAAGAGATACACGTGTTCATCTCACAACCAGTACATACACATGGCCCGCTACATTTTATTATTATTTTGAGGTGGTTATTTATATTCAAAATGCAACTCTTATGGGTTCGCAGGTTTGATATGTCACCTGAATAGTATAAAACTTTAAATAAACAACAAATAAATGTAACATATAAAATTAAATATAACAAAGCAGTTTCATGCATGCCTACATCTGATAATAGATGGCAATAATGGCAGACGTAGACATTTATGTCTGAACTGAAGCTAATGGTTAGAGCATTGTATTTATGTTAATAATAATGAAAGTATTAGTAAAAGCCCTCTGGCAAAGATACAAATATACATTATCATTTCTGCGTGTTAGTGGGATGTAGAATAGTATCCAAAACACGATGAAAAAAATTGAAAATGATGTTTTAAATGACAACGTATTTCGTCGACGTGTGTAAATGGATTTTAGAAGAGGGAGTATTGGGGGGTAGTAAAAAACAAACAATGATATCAGCTACAAAAGATAGGGAATTGTGGAGAGTCATGGTCGCCCACGTCCGGAAAGGACAAGGCACACAGAAGAAAAATAAATATTAAGTAAACAAAAAACTTAACTAAACCACTGTAGTAACCTAGGGAAGGTTACTGAATAGAATAATCAAACGAAACTTGTTAATGAACGATAATACTTAGGACAAGAACAACACATATAAGATTCGCCAGCGGCGCGTAGAATTAGTCGACTGCTAGAAGTGAGTCAAGTGAATTCCACAATGAATCTCGCAGTCAGATGTAGCACAAGGTCGAATTTAATGTGGGGTATCCGAGCCTGTAGGCTCGGCAAAAAATTCCCCGTAGAACCCGAATAAAACGGGGTCGGGTAGCTGTTTTCCGAGACGACACTGCCCTTCGACATAGCCTCGTCTGGGGAACCTCTCTGACTTCGGGCAGAGAGTTTGACCAGCATAGCTGAGATGAATCTCCGACTGCAGGATATCTAGCAACTGCCTCACGCGGTCAGATGTGGCACAAGGCCGAATTTAATGTGGGGCATCCAGGTCCGTAGGCTCGGCCAAAAATTCACCGTAGTCCCCGTATAAAACAGCGTTGGGTTGCTGTTTCCCGAAACAAGACTCTGCCCTTCGACATAGCCTCGTCTGGGGATCCTCTCTGCCAGGAGGCAGAGACTCTGACCAGCACAGCTGGAGACGAATCTCTAGGATGTCTATCAACCACCCCACGCGGTCAGATGTGGCACAAGGCCGAATTTAATGTGGGGTATCCGAGCCCGTAGTCTCGGCCAAAAATTCCCCGTGGAATCTCCAACTATAGACCAATATACAGTGTTTATTACTGTATTTATGTGAATGGGGACATACCCATTTTCACCCCTCAGTAAGCTACAACAATCACATAATATAGGTTTAATAAGTATTTTTAAAGACATAAATTCTTATAGCAATTGTATTAAAAAAAGGTATAGCTTTCCTTATATGAAAAGGAACTCTTGAAAAAAGGCATGGATTCAAAGTAGATGATTCTCTATTTTTTTTTTTTTTTTTGGTGGTGTGCAGACAGTCTCGAAGTACAACTCTGAAACCGTGGAGAAGTCAGTGAGAAATCACTTCATTGGTGAATGCTAGACAATCTCCTCGCAGGCAAAGAAGAGACTTGAAGCGATCTGCGTTTCTATGGCCTCATTCCTCCCGCTACCTCTTAGAATCTAAGCTGCCACCACTCTCTCCTAATAAAACGAATACAAAAAAAGAAATCGTCCTTTTCGTTGATTCTATTTTATATCAGACCCAGAGACTCAACAGGGACACGTCACATAAAATAAGACAGAACTCTCCCAAGAAGTCATGGCAATTGACAGATAAGGTAACAAGAAGCTGTGGAGAGTTATGGTCGTCTATATGTTGAAGGGATGTTGTATTTTAAAATGAGGGAAATCAGGATGGAAAAATGCGTCCCAACAATCAAACAGTTACGCATTTAATTTGGCGTCTGAATTCTTAAAACGTTCACTAAAGTAGAGCATACGATGGCAATTAGTTGATTAATGGATTTCACTAAATGACAGGAAATGCTTGGGATTAGGAAGGGTCGGGATGTTAAGAGCGGAAACAAAAGCAACGGTAATGGTTTAGACAAGCCCACCGACATCAACACTATTTATTTCCTTAATTTTCAAAATTTAAATGCTATTCTGCAGACATAAATAAACATTATTTGCATGCACTGATAGCTACGGAAGTATTTTTTTTCCTTTTTGCTCTTTTAACGCTTTACAAGGGGAAGAGAACTCGGGTATATTGCTCGTGCGCAGTCCGCATAAATTAGCGAGAATTTAAAAAGCAATAATTAATCTTTGGTGCGACCGTTTTTGCTCAAATTCGATCAAAGTATGCGTGCAATTGTAGAGATTCGCCGAGACCGAACAGTCATTATAACATGTTGTCGGCACCCGCTCGCATCCGGGCATCGGGATAGTCATCCTCTCTCCCTTTATCTCCGAGTCGGTTGCGGTGTTGCGAATCAAAAAGAGTTATAGGAGGCTATTCGCGTGAATTTGATTTTGGTGG